TATTTTTTACCAGGTTTTTTTTTAGCAATTTTTTCTAGTCTCAAATACTTTGATTCTTATAAAATCACATGACAGTATGTTAACATTAATACGTTGATATGTATGTTGAGGGAGTTAAGTTACTTTACATTATGGCATATGTCGTTAGTTGACGCAAGTTAATTTTTGTGTCCCCATCATTGACATTCGCTATTTTAAAATTAATTTAACTCGATAAAGTACATATAAGTAAATGATTATATGGTTATTTAGACTATAAATAATCTAAAATAATTTTAAACAATGTAATTACATAAAAAAAAAACATTGAGAAATCTGGATTTGAAAATAAGGTCTTTCTTAACAATATTGTTAAGAAATTACAAACTTATAAGCAGTTTTGGCCTACTTGAAAAAATGAAATTTTTTTTTCGGTAAATAGTTTATACCTTGGAATTAAATTTTACTATTTTTTAATTTTAAAAATATGTGAAATTGTCATGAAATATCAACAATTGTGATTAACAGATTTTAATAATGGAATAATAAAATTAAATAGGATGTCAATAGTGGGGGCCCTGTCAATAATAGGGGCTTTTACCTTAATTAAAATTAATCTTAAAATTAAGATTAAAGCTGAAATTAATATCAATATTAATATTAAAATTAAAATTAATAAATATGGGTGATTTTCTGTAAGGACGTCTTAAATCTGTACAAAATTGTCCGACCAAATTATTTTTGATTTTATTAGAAAAAAAAATTAACAGCCAAATTAATTTTTGTTTTTCGATATTTGTGTGTCTTTTGCCATATAACATGTAATGACAGCAATTTTTTTTTTTATCAAATTGAGAAAAATCAAGCAAACCATTTCAATGCATTCAACTTTTCAAGTTCTCAATGAATGTTTACATTAATTAGAATAATATTAAGACTTAAGGATCCAATTTTATAAATAAATTATAAATAAAAATAGTTGCCAGGGGACTGAGTTTTGAAAGGGCCCAGACACATATTTCCAGGACAAACGGTGCTTTGACACTAAATAAAATGGCGATAAAGCGCTAACAGCCCTATGGTTATTATTAACTTAAGGCTAGTTAGATCCTTATAAACCTTACAAAAGGTAAAATAACACGCTGGATTTTTTTTTTTACTTTGAACTTCTGGCAGGGAACTGTTCTTAAAATGCCTGGGACAAACTTTGGTTTAATGAATTTAATGAAACAAATTAACTTTCGGTACTTTTTATTGAAGAAGATTGTTAGTTCACTAATTAAGTTTATAAACATTATGGACCAAATAATATGTTATGGACGAATAACTTAAAATTTAATCTTAAAGTTTAAATTTTGGGTATGGGACAGCCCAGGGGACTGTTATTTCGGTGGTTTACGAATTTATAGCAAAAAAACCAGAATTTATTTCATTTTAGTTTTCAATGCTCCAAATAGAAATGTTTTTTTACTTTCGTAACAAATTTTTTTTAGTGACAAAATAACAATTTTTCCAATAAAAAAATGCCTGGGACAGCGAAAAACATCCTTACAGAGAATCACTCATATATCAACTTTTATCTTATTATTAAATAAATATAAACAATTACCTGCATAAAAGTCTTTCAATATGTTTACAATTAAATAAATGACGAAACAGCATTTGATAGCATGCTATAGCTTTTCTATTAATCACCAAAGACACTGGCCATTTTACCTCATAATTGAAAGCGAATGCTTCAATACCATCTAATTTTTTTCCTGCCTGGAATGCAAACTCTAAAAAAAAAAAAAAAAAAAATTGAATGAATTTTTTAAAACAGAAAAAAAAATTAATTTTTTTCCTCATTACCTTTCTCATCACTTGTTTGAATTGATAAAATCCGAAACATTTGAAACTGTAAATCATAAGGTAACAGTTCCGGCTTAAGATCATCTTTATAAGGATCTAGATCAGCAGTCGATGTTCTCAATGCAACCTCTAGCAACGAAGCCAAACGATGAATGACAATATCATACATATTTTTACTCAATTCATTTTCACATAAATTCAAAAACTGTACAACAAAATCTCCTTGCGACAATAAGAAATAATTTTTAACGCTTTTTAATCGGCCCATCAAATCATTTTCGTGAATCAATACTTCCAATAAAGTACGTGCCGCTTCGTTGTAGGCTTGGTCGATAGTAAATATCAATTTTTGATCTCTGTAATGGTAAATAAGTGGTTCTTGTTTTATCCACTTGATCATTTTTCCACATTGACGGATAACATTGAAATACTTTCCAGTTCGTAAAATTGTATGAGCATGTTGGTTTAGAAAATTAGGGATTCTTTCTGATTTCATGGTGTATCGTTTTTCCCAATAATCAGCTGAATAATCCATAGGTAACTCTTCACGTTGTATTAATTCATTGTCTTCGACAAAAAACTGAAAAGGAAAAATTAAATTTAAGTAATTTATTGTCAAAATTTGACTATATTTCTAAAGTGCTAATAAGATTGAAAAAAAAAATTTTATTTAAGGTAGTTGTCATGGTACAACAAAAGTACGCAAAAGTATATGAGCTTGTAGCTAAGTAATCCATAATTTTTACGCAAGACGACCCGTAGAAACGCAACCCATGCAATTGTTTTTGTTCGACTCCGTAGATATATACTTTTTCAGAAATTGTTGAACTTTAATCCGCTATTTATAAATAATTAGACAGTCGAAAATTTTTTTTTAAACTCACAACAAATACATTAAAAGACTATCAGTTTTTTGAAAGTTTCTGATAGTTAGTTTTTTTTTTTATAACTATGAAACTGGTACTGAACTGCAGAGAGCGTATGCAATCAATGTTAAATATCTAATTTTTAATTGAATTCATCTCGGGTTATAGGTGGTCAATCGACTTCAAATTTTTAGGGTAATAGTATCATCATGTTCTTAATGAGTATTCAAAAATTTAGAATTTTCTGACGCTATGCCTTAACCACAACAACTACCTTAAATCTTTAATATTATCATTAGGTAACAAGATATAGTGTAATTGTTCAATTATTAATATTTTTAAAGATATAAGCTCATCCTGATGTTACCCTTTTCGAGACCTTTCATATTCGGTCACATTTGTCCATTAAATTATTTATAATTAATCCTGTAAAAGCACTATTATTTTTAAAATTTATTTAAAAAGTACCCAAACTATTAATGTGATTATAAATGTAAAAAAATCATTAACCCAAAGTTTTCTTATTCATAATCGGTAAATCTCGGCAGTAATATAGTAGCAGGTTGCTAGTTACTATTTAAAAAAATTTACCTCTTGATATGGATCACATATGACGCCTTTGTAAACCCATTTTTCCAACATTCGCATGTAAGGTATACTTGCTGATTCAATTAAAAATACGCAAAGCTCTTTACATTTAGCTTCTCCACTCATATTACTAATTTGCTCATAAAGCAAGCTTAGTACTTTTCCACCTTTAGCTCGTGCCTGTTAAAAAAAATATAAATATAAAAATTAAGACCAGACATTTAATAATTTTTTATATTTTTATAATAATTAAATTATTATAGAAAAATTTTAATAAAAAAATTCACATGTAAAAACTTGATTAGATTAATTAAATCAATAAAAAATATTTTTTAAAAATTGCACTTAAAATTTTTTACATTCCAATTTTTTTCTTATTAATTTTTTTCAAGAAAAAAATTCTAAAAATTTTCAGATGTCGGCTAATTTAATTTTCATAAAAATTATATGTACAAATTTTTTTTCATAATGAAGAGTTGTAAAAATTGCAAGAATTTTTAGATGTCTGTTAATTTTAGTACCATAAAATAAAAAAAATAAAATACCTTAGAAATAATTGTTGTTATTTGTGCCAGTATAGACATAGTAGCCATAATCGGTTGAATATAAAACCACAAATTTTGTAAATTTAATTTACTCCTCAAATGTTCCATTTCCAACTGAACGACAAACAACAAGTAGTCCTTGAGTAAATAATTAATCGCACTTCTGAGAGCATGATTAACTTGACCATCGTTGGGCAAAATTTTATCTTCTACAAATCTTATAGCAGTAGAATAATAAGAAGCAAGAGGTAAAATTTGCAATACTAATTGTTTGTACGGAATACTGACATCAGTTGAAATAATAAATGTGCGCTTGTCATTAGAATCGTTCAACGATTCTGATACAATATAATTACCGTCAATTCCCTTGAGACAGCTCAATAAATCCCAGATTAAAATAGATTCTTGAGAGACAACAGGTACTACCTTTTGATATGGAGTTAATTTAGTATCCGAGTAATAATCCCATGTTATTTTAGGTCGTTCGAAACACCAGTGATTATATTTAACCACCGACCCTTCAGCACCTCGATTTAATCCGTGTAGTTTTTTTGATGATTGTTTGTCACGCTCACTCGCTGCTCTTAATATATTTTTGTGAAGTGTTGATAAATCGTCATTGGTGATTGTGGATGAAGTTGGAGCTTTTAAGTTACTTTTTACCTTTTTCTTCTCTAGATAATCCTTCACTGACCTGTCTGTTGATATCTGGTGCAATACTTGAATGAACGGTCCTAGCCCGTCAATTTTTTTAGCTTTTAATTCATTGTATTTTTTTTTAAACAACTCGCTGTCAGTTGAGTTTTTTTCTAAATGACATACCGAATTTTTAGACGGTATGTTTTCTGTGATGACATTTGTTTGGATTTTTTCAATAAATTTCTCTGGAAGATGCGAAGAGTCTAATGTTGTAATTAAATCACTTATCACAGTATGTAGTTTGAATTCACTCATTTTATATTTAAATTATTAACTTTTAATTAAAATTTATGTAAATTAAGTTTTATCATTTTTTTTTTTTGTATCATTAAATTAAATGGTACTTCTTTTCAAACTTTTTTGAGGTTATGAAGCCTACCACTCACAATAATGTTGTTATATTATTTTGCGCATATGCGTTCGCCTTGAAGCACCTTTTTCACTCTTTTGCTTTTGACAAGCAAACTATTGTGATATTTTTATTCGCATCCAGGTGACACTACTGGGCTTTAAGCGTTAATTTTAAATATTAAAAATTTCTTTAGTATAATTAAAAAAATTATTTATTTTATTAAAAAAGTAATTTCAATAATGAGGTAGAATAAAATTTTTTCTTTTTTCAATTCATTTTTTGATAATAATAAATGAAAATTTAAAAAAATTGTATGAAAATTAAGTTAGCCGACATTTAAAAATTTTTATGTTTTTTTATTGAAAAAATCATTACAAAAAAATAAAAAAAAAAATTGCACGTCTAAAAAACTTCAAAAACTGTAAGTGCAATTTTTAAAAAAAATTTTTTTGTTCTAATTTGATTATTAAAAAAAAAATCAAAAAATTTAGAACGTCGGCTAACTTTAATGATATAAAAATTGTTCTCAGAATTTTTCAAAGTTTCTACTTATATGTGGAATTTTATTGCAATAATTTTTTAAATAAGAAAAATTATTAAAATTAATTAAAAAAAAAAAAATTTTTTTTAATTTACACTTGAGTGATTAATTATAGATGGATGGTAGTTAATAATAAGAGTTAATTTAATTAATATAAACATTTGCTTTATTGTACAATCGTTTGGAGAGAGAAGCGTAAAAGTAATAACAATAATAATAATAATAATAATAATAATAATAATACAACAAGTAGTTGTGCAATAATTGTTCAGTATACATTTTTCGGTCTGCAAGGAATAAACCATCTGTTAGTCTTGTCAAATTTATTCCTAAATACATACTTGGCATTAATACCGTGATCTCCAACTCTTGTCCCAATAAATTAATAAATTTCTTGATCTTCTTCTTGTTAGCACTTACTGTCAGGCCGTCATCAACATGTAGTGTTACAATTAATTAAACATTCTTTGATACCTAGGTGATGTGAATACGCATGGATCATATGGGTCTGTTGGTTCCAGTTCGAATTTCTTGAAGATTTTAATGATCTGCCTGTTCCAAAACTTGGGCCTCTATTTCAGACCATATAGTCCTTTCTTCAACCTACAGACTCTCCCACTGCCGTCATTAAATCCTCCAACTTGCTCCATGTACATCAAACAGTTCCACATACATGTTGTTTGACGCTGCTAGTGCTAAAAAAAAATCTTCCATATCTCGTACTTTGGTGAAACACTCTCTCTCCCGATGTCCCGCCTTTTTACAGTAATTGCATTTTCCTCTCCAATTACGCTGTTGAAATTGGCGATGTCCTCTTGTTGCAGTTAGAGATTCACCAATCTCTGAAATTGGTTCACGGTTAACAAACAGTGCCTCCTTCAATCTGATTGAAGTAACCAAATTTGTCAGGGTTTTCTCAGCATCTGCCATTGATACCCAGGATGTTCTAAAGTGTCTATAATTATTAGGTAATGTCAATAAAATTTTCGTAATTATTTGATCATCAGAAACGGTTACACCCATCAGGTTTAATCTGTTTGCAAGATTCTGGACTTTTGCGACATACTCTAATATGCTTTCGGTCTTATCCTTGGCCATCAGGTACCACTGTTGATTTAACATATATTTAGCTATATCTGTATTCCTCTCATACACCTCTTGTAGCTTTGTCCACATGCTTCTCGCCGTTGTGCAGTTGATCACGTGCATCACTGCTTCTCGACTCAGGCTAGATGTAATCACACACTGAGCTGTTGCTTCCCGCCCCTTGAAGGTCTTGAGCTCTTCCTGATACGCATTCATCTGTGCCTCTGTTGGAGCATTATCACCGTCGCCAATCGGCATTTCCGGCTCTTTCTCAACCTGCTCAATATCAATCGATACCTTTCGCCTGTAACGCGATTTTTGTGTGAAATTTCCAGATCATCCAATCTTCCGGTCCCTCGAGTTTTGTTAGGTTCATCGTTTCTTGAATCGCTTCCATTATCTAGGTTACTTGCACTTTTCTGTAAAAAGTGTACAATTTGTAAATAATTCCTTAGCTTATAGTGATTAGTTATTTAGTTAGTTTGTAACTCCTTAAATTTTAGAGTAAAGATATGGTTTTTTTTATGACACTGAAGTTAGCAGACGTCTAAAAGTTTTTGATTTTTTTTTAAATTAAATTACAACTAAAAAAATATTTCTAAAAAATTGCACTTGTAGTTTTTCAAGTTTTTTACATGTGAAATTTTTTTTTTTTTAATTATTTAATCGAAATTTCTTCAATAAAAAATTTCTAAAAATTTTAAAATGTCAGCAAACTTCATTTTCATTTTTTTTTTTCCTATTTTTCCATCAAATCAAAAAATTCTTATCATACGAACGAGTGGAACTAAAGCCTCGGCTGCGCCCAAAACAATTATTTTTCAGAACCAGATTAATATAAAAAAAAAAAAAAAAAAAAAAAAAAGTGAGCCAAAACTTGTGCATACCGTAAACTGCGCGGTCTGTTCTTGTTCAAATGATTTTTATTTTTATTATTCAAAAAATTTTATGGCTTTTTTAATTTCTGTTTGTTTAGCCAATCATTCATGTATTACTAATGTAAGACTTATTATTTTTTTAATAATCATACATTTAAACACCGGCTGGCTAACCTCAAAAATGTCTTTAAATTTCTATTTTTTAATTATAGATGGATATGGTAGATTTTAATAATAAGAGTTGATTTAATTAATATAAACATGTACTTACTTTACTGTACAATCGTATGAAGAGAAAAGTAAATGTATTAATAATAATAAAACAATAAGTAGCTACTGCGTAGCGGTTATATACAGTAGCGCATGTTCGACTTATAGTAATCGAGTGTGCGACGTTTTGCATACCTGGATATGAGATTTCGTAACTAAAGTTAGTCAATAGTCAAAACTTGCAAAAAAATGGGACCTGATTCCTTATTGGTCGAAATTAAAGCGCCGCGTAGCGCGTTATTTAAATTTCTAGTCAAAATAAAACTAATAGGGTAAAAGAACCCATTAGTGGTGGGGATCTTATTACTGACACTTTTTTTAATTTTGGTACTTATTTAATAAATGAAATCATTAATTTATATTATAAATATATTATTTCTAATCTTTAAAACATTTAGATCAAAAAATTTTTAATTTTTATTCCAAACAATCTCAACAAATTTTAATAATTTAATTTCTAAATGGAAAATTTTTAACAAAATTTAGTTAAAAAATTTGACATTGTTTTTTAATTTCAATTTAATTATTTTTTATTTAAAAATGTGATAAGAAAAAAAATTTTTTCAACAATTTAACTCTCTTTATTTTTTATCTAATTTTATAAAATTTAATTTTATTAAAATTTTTTTTTGCAATAAAATCAAGTGCGCTTTTCAACATTCCGGCTTAATAGCGGATGAACTTAAATTTCGCGCGCACAAATTTTTGCGCAGTTTAATTTTTTACACTAGATGGAGTGTGTTTATTAATTTGACAGATGTTTATTTTTACAAACATTCTTTTTTTATAATTTTTTTATTATGCTCCATTTTTTTTTAATTATTTATAAGTATTGTTTTATACAGTGTTTATTTAAACTTTTTTAAAATTCACATTATCTAAAACAATGAAAAATTAACGCCCCAGATACATATAACCCATTTTAATCTTGAAAAAAACATACATACTATAGATACATACACAAACATGTATGAATACATGACATTTACAAATAAATGTTTATCTCAAAACTGTCAATAAAGTTATTCATTATATTTTAATGATAATTTTTATTTTATTTTTTTGACACTACTTACATTGTTATAAATTACATCTAGTATTATTGCAGATGCAGAAAATAAAATTCAGCTCCATTAAGAAATATTTTTTTTAGTTTTTAAAATGAATAACTTACAACAATTCTTTAATTGTCGATTACTGAGAAATGGAAAGTTAATAAATGATAATTTGTGGGTGCGCAACGGAATAATTGTTGATCCAGAAATATTGTTCTTCGATGAAAAAGTTAAAGCTGATAAAAGTATCGACTGTCATAATGCTATTATTTCTCCAGGATATATTGACATCCAAATAAATGGTAAAATTAATCATGAAAATTAAGTTAGCTGACATTTGAAAATTTTTATTAAAAAAAATATGACACTGAAGTTAACAGACATTAAAAATTTTTTTAGAATTTTAGAGCAATTAAATTATTATAAAAAAAAATAATTAAAAAATTCCACATGTGAAAATTAGTAAAAATTACAAGTGAAAATTTTTAGAAGCATTTTTTTATAGTAATTGATTTAATAAAAAAATTTTTAAAATTGACAGCTGACAGTTAATTTCAGTATATCATAAAAAAATTTTTAATTGTAAAAAATTTTTAAAAATTGAGTGCAATTAAAAAAAAAATACTTTTTAATTCTAATTTAATATATCAAGCAAAATCAAAAAGTATGTAGACATCCGTGATTAATCTAGAAATCTAATTTAAAACAATTTAGAATGATTTGAAATAACTTAAAAGCATCTGATTTAAATACTATATATAGATATACAATTAACACAAAAACATTTCAAATCATCTTTCTGAATCAGATATATGACATTTTTTTTTTTTTTAATTAATTACAAAAAAAAATATTTTTTAAAAATTTGCATTCGTTATTTTTTTCAATATCTTGATGTCGAATTTTTTAATTCAGGTTTTTTATAATAATTTAAGATTATTAGAAATTTTTTCATAATTTTATAGCAATAAAATATTATAAAAACTCCACATGCAAAAATTGAAAGAATAATTATTATTATTAGTGAAAATTTTTTTAAATAGGTTTTTAATGTAATTTAATTGCTAAAAAATTTTTTTAATTTAGTTAGAAAAATCCAAAAAATTGATAGATCTCTGTTAATGTTAGTATCATAAAAAATGTATGACATTACAGTTAGCAATCACTTGACCACTTTTTAATTTTTTTAACAAACAAATTTATTCCAAAAAATTATTTTTAAAAAATTGAATTTTTAATTATTTAAAATTTTAAGATGTCAATTCTTTTTTTATTTTTTTGCCATAATGTAATGTTAAAAAATTCTTAAAATCATAAAATATCTGCTAAATTAATTTTCATTAAAAACGCCTATTTTTTTCTTCATATATAATCTCTTACAATAATTTACTAATTGCCTTTTATTACTGTACAGGAGGGTTTGGCATTGACTTTTCATACAACGTTGACAATGTCGAAGATGGGATCACTAAAGTCGCCAAACACTTATTAGCCCATGGTGTGACATCATTCTGTCCGACTTTAGTCACATCTTCTCCTGAAACTTACCACAAAATATTGCCGAAGATAAAAAAATCTCCTGGTGGTACACATGGTGCTACTGTTCTGGGTGTACATGTTGAAGGTCCATTTATTAGTCCGACAAAAAAAGGTGCACACCAAGAAATATACATAAAACAATTTAATAAAGTAGGTAGCTTTAATAAATTAAATGAACTTTGTAAATTAATTTTTAATATCTTTTCAGGGATTCCAATCAATTGTCGACGTTTATGGAAGTCTTCAGAATGTTTGTTACCTAACATTAGCACCTGAACTCGATAATTCTTCGGAAGTTATCAAAGCATTATGCGACAGAAATATAAAGGTGTCTTTAGGTAAGAAAAAAATCCCACAATAATATTTAATATGATACTAAAATTGAGAGATATCTAATAATTTTTGAAATTTTTTTAACTAATAAATTACAGCAAGAAAAAGTTATTTAAAAAATTCCATTTTTAGACGCACTAAAAAATTATAAATGCAATTTTTTAACAACAGTTTTTTATATCTAATTTATCATTGAAAAAAAAAAAATAAAAAAATCTTCAAGTGATATGATATTACAATTAGTCAATGTTCAAAAATTTTTAATTTTTTTTTTATTTAGTAAATGAGAACCAAAAAAATATTTTTAAAAAATTGCACCTACAATTTTTAAAATTTTCTAAAAGTGAATTTTTTTTTTTTTAATAATTTTCAATAAAATAAATTACAAAAATTTTCCGATGTCAGCTAATTCAATTTTCATAATGTTAATAATACTAAACCTAGCCGACGTTTTTGATTCTTTTTAATTTATTAAATTAGAACTAAAAAATATTTTTTTTTTAAATTGCACTTATAGTTTAATGTGTAATTTAATTATTTATTATTTAGGTCATTCGGTGGCGAACCTAAATCAAGGAGAAAACGCAGTAAGAAATGGTGCGTCATTAATAACACACCTTTTCAATGCAATGTTGCCGGTAATTTTATTATCCAATTTTTTTTTCTCACTATCAGTCACATGAGGTAATTATTATTATTATTATTATTATTATTATTTAATAGTTCCATCATAGAGATCCAGGCCTGGTAGGTCTTTTAACATCTGACCAAATTCCACCGTCGAAAAAGGTTTACTTTGGTATTATTGCCGACGGAGTTCATACTCATCCAGCGGCACTTCGTATTGCTCATAGAACCCATCCAGAAGGTATTATCTTCATTAAAATTTTTCACCAAATATTTTTTTTATGGAAGACAATTATAATTTATAATTAATATTACTCTTGGCAGGTCTTATACTTGTCACTGACGCTATTTCTGCTCTTGGATTGCAAGAAGGCTTGCATCGACTTGGTCAACTTGATATAGAAATAAAATCTAATCAAGCTTATATAGCCAATACGAATACTTTGTGTGGAAGTATTGCACCTATGACGGAATGCGTTAAATTTTTCAAAGAAGCCACAGGTAATTTTTTCAAAATTTTACATCACTCATGCGCTAAAAAAAAAATTTATATTTAATAAAATGTCATAAAAAATTACCTTATTTAAAATTTTAAACAATTTTATTTCTTAGCTGAAGAATTACGAATTTTTTTTTACTGTAACTATCTTGTTGAAAAAAATTTTTCTAGATTTGGAAATCTAGAAGAATTTTTTTTAGCAAGAAAATTATCCTGAAAAAAAAATTTATTTCTTCAGCTAAAAAATAAAATTGTTTAAAATTTTCAATAAAAAAATAAAAAAAAAATTTATAAATTAAAAAAAATAATTCTTTATTTTAAATAGTGATACCTTCAAAAATTGATTAATAAATTATACTTTTAATTTAATTTTCATATTTAAATAAAATTTTAAATGCTTGACTATTTTATTGATCAATAGTTTCTTTATGAAAAATTTTACATATTCAAGTAAAAGTAATTTTCTCATAGATTGCTCAATAGTAAATGCCCTGGAGGCTGCAACTTTACATCCAGCACGAGCTCTTCAAATCCATTCACAAAAAGGTACGCTCAATTTTGGAGCTGATGCAGATTTTTTATTGCTAAACGATAATCTAGATCTCGTTTCTACTTGGATTGCTGGGGAATGTGTTTACACAAAATAAAACATTTAATATTTTAAATGAAATTAAATTAAATGGGTGCATTTATATGTTTTTTAAGAATTTATATTTTCTTATAATCAAATTCAAAACCTATTTTTAATTTTAGTAAAAACTTTTTAGAATTACGAATGTATTTCAATTTAAAAAAATAAATATTTTATATATATTAAATATGTATAATTTTAGAATAATTTCAATGGACTAAACATATAAAATAACTTTATTTTAAACAATGAACATGTTTTTAACAAAAATTAATATGTTATAAATCGAAGAAATATTTAATAATGAAATGGAGTACAACAATATTGTAATTAGTGTTTTAAAATGGTAATTTAAGTATTAAATATTAATACACTAAGAAAAAAAATTTATTTTGAAAAAAAATGTGATAAAAAATTAATTTTTTTGTAAATTTAAAACAATTTTATTTCTTAGCTGAAAAAATAAAAATTTTTCTCAAGCTTACTTTCTTATTAAAAAAAAGTTTTAGATATTTAAAAAAAAAAAAAACACGGATGAAAAAAATTTGCAAGTTGTCTATCTAAAATTATTTTTTTTAAAATCGAATAAAGTTTTTTTCAACCAAAAAAGTTAATGTGAGATATATTTTTATTTCTTCAGTTGAAAAATAAAATTGTTTTAAATTTTAAAACAAATCAATTTTTTATCACAAAATTGCTTATTCTTTTTAAAATAAATTTTTCCTCAGTGTAAAATTAACAGTTAGAAATATTCAAAGGAAGAATCTCTCAATAAACTGCATCTTTGAGATTACAAATATACGGAGAATGTTTTATACCGAAAGTATGAGCCGGTGGTAAATTCAACAGAACCTGAAAAAATAAAAAAATAATTTAGAAAAAAAATAAAAAAAATTTTACTCATGCTGTATTTAAACTCATACTTTTTCCGGACAATAAACTCCAGGAGCTGGAACTTTCATCTGATCGGTAGGTAACGAATATCGGCTGCTTATACTATAAGCTGCACTTTTATTTCTGACAATATCAGTATCAATAGATTCATAAGTCCCAGGCCCAGGGACTAAAATACGGTCATCAGTGAATGTCTTTTGCCGGCTAGCAATTGAGTATGCTGGTGCAGTTTTTTTGTTGCCTTCTTTAGTAGCGCCGAATGCTGAAGGTATGGTGTAAACATTCGGAGCTGCTCATAAAAAATATCAATCATCTTCATTATTGAATATTGATTATATTAAATTACAAAAAAATTTTTGCTCAATCAAAAAAAGCTAATTTACTTTGTTAAGCTTCCACAATCTCATTTTTGACCAAACGGTTAAAGCGACGTTAAATAAACAAATTAAAAAAAAGAAAATCTAATTTTTTAATAAAAATTAATTTAGCAGATATTTAATAATTTTTTTAACAAATAAATTATGGCAAAAAAAATTGACGTCGAAATTAAAAAAAAAACTGAAAATGCAATTTTTTTAAAAATAACATTTTTCAAAACAAATTTATTTGTTAAAAAAAATTAAAAAATGGCCAAGACTGCTATCTTTAAGTCAACATTTTATGAAAATTAATTTAGCAGATATTTCATAATTTTTAGAATTTTCTTAACAAATAAATTATGGCAAAAAAAAATTGACATTTAAAAAATTTTAAAAATAAAAAATGCAATTTTTTTAAAAATAATTTTTTAAAACAAATTTATTTGTTAAAAAAAAAATTAAAAAATGGCCAAGACTTTAATTGCTAACTTTAATTTCAAAATTTTATTTACTGAAGATCACTATGAAAGAAGAAAATGCAAGTTAAAATTATTAGCCAAGCATGAATTACTATAAAATTATGTAAGTGAAGATAAAATGTACTTAAAGTCATGCGTAAAAAAAATGCAAAGAAGAATTATATCTTCTTTGTATTTTTTATTTTTATTATAAAGCACGGAGCTTAAAATTGATTAATTAAAATTATTCTTTAATTGCATGCAAATAAAATTTCTCTAAAAAAAATCATAAATTTTTTTTATATTATCTTATTATTTAAAAATTATATATTTTTATATTATCGATCATTTGTTAGTAAAGCAATATTATTATTATAATTAATAATTACAATCATAGTTAGTCACAGATGTTGCTTGTAATTTTTCGTGGTAATTATTAATATGTTTCAAAAATGAAAAGCATTAGCCATTAAAGACGATTTCTTCAACAATCTTGGTAGTCTATCATATCAAGTCATTAAAATTCCTAAAAGTTATTTTGAAATTTTTAACAGATCTCAATTTGTTTTTTTTTTTTTTTTTTTTTTTAATTTTAACATTAAAATAAAATACCTGGAAAATTATTTCGATTTTCGGGTGATAATTTTAAGCCGAAGCTAAATTTTAGTGACTTTTCCAAATTCACGTTTTCCGGGGAGTAAAATCCAGGAGCTGTGCGAAGAAATAAGTTTAAAAAATAAATCCGAAGTAAAAAATGTATAAAATAAAAATAAAAAAAATACCTGGTGTATCATTATGATTTTCAATGGGTGTTTTTGACCCAAAAGTATACGCTGGTGTTTTATCTAAATTCATTTTCTCAGGAGAGTATGTTCCAGGTGCTGTATAAATATAAATTTCTGATATTAAAATCTGAAAATTTTTTGAATTTTTATAACATATTATAATAAAAAAAATTCGCAGAATTTTTTAATTTAATTTTTAAATGTGGATTTTTTCAATAATAAATTTAATTGTTATAAAAATCAAAAAAATTTTTGTTTGTTAATTTTTGTATCATAAAAAAACAGATAATTTTTGTGTGAAATTTTGATAAATTACCCGGTGTGTCGTTATGATTCTTAACAGTTGTTCTTAAGCCAAAACTAAATTCAGATGTTTTATCTAAATTTACTTTTTCTGGGTAATATGTTCCAGGTGCTATAAAAAAAAAAAAAAAAAAACTGATTGAAAAAATTTCACATAATTGCACAAAATAAATAAAAAAAATACCTGGTGTATCGTTATGATTTTCAATAAATGTTTTAGCACCAAATGTATACGCTGGTGTTTTATCTAGATTTACTTTCTCAGGAAAGTACGCACCAGGTGCTGTATAAATAAAGATTTTATTTCTATATTAATAAAAAAAAAAAAAATTGTATTTTTGTATGTATAAAGATATTTTGATAGATTACCCGGTGTATCATTCTGATTTTTAATAGTTGTTCTTAAACCAAAACTAAATTCTGATGATTTATCTAAATGAACATTTTCCGGGTAATATGTCCCAGGTGCTTTACAAAAAAACGTAAAAAAAAAATTAATTAATTAATTAATCTCATTGAATTACAGAAAAAATAAAAAAATAAATACCTGGTGTATCGTTACGATTTTCAATAAATGTTTTAGCGCCAAATGTATACGCTGGCGTTTTATCTAGATTTACTTTCTCAGGAAAGTACGCACCAGGTGCTGTATAAATAAAGATTTTATTTCTATATTAATAAAAAAAAAAAAAAAATTGTATTTTTGTATGTATAAAGATATTTTGATAGATTACCCGGTGTATCATTCTGATTTTTAATAGTTGTTCTTAAACCAAAACTAAATTCTGATGATTTATCTAAATGAACATTTTCCGGGTAATATGTCCCAGGTGCTTTACAAAAAAACGTAAAAAAAAAATTAATTAATTAATTAATCTCATTGAATTACAGAAAAAATAAAAAAATAAATACCTGGTGTATCGTTACGATTTTCAATAAATGTTTTAGCGCCAAATGTATACGCTGGCGTTTTATCTAGATTTACTTTCTCAGGAAAGTACGCTCCAGGTGCTACATTAAAAAAAATTTAATTTTGATATAAAATTACCAGACATCCAAGTTAGTTCTTAAAATTTTTTTAACAAATCAATTATTTAAAAAAAAAAAAAATATTTTTAAAAATTCGGTCTCAAATTTTTTTTTCTGCATGTGAAATTTTTTTGCTAAATTTTCTTTAGTGTAATTTAATTGTTAAAAATATAAAAAAAATTTTTAAATTCAGAATTATATTTTCATAATAAATTACCCGGAGTATCGTTACGCTTTTCGATAGAAGTTTTTGCGCCGAATGAATATGCCGGTGTGCTGTCTAGAATTACTTTCTCAGGAAAGTACGTCCCAGGTGCTGTATAAATAAAAATTTTATTTCTATATTAATTAATAACAAAAAAAAAAAAATTATTTTTTAATAAGATATTTTGATAAATTACCCGGTGTATCATTTTGATTTTTAATAGTTGTTCTTAAACCAAAACTAAATTCTGATGATTTATCTAAATGAACATTTTCTGGGTAATACGTTCCAGGCGCTTTACAAAAAAACGTAAAAAAAATGAATAAATCTCATTTAATTACAGAAAAAATAAAAAAAAATACCTGGTGTGTCGTTATGATTTTCAATGGGTCTTTTTGACCCAAAAGTATACGCTGGTGTTTTGTCTAAATTTACTTTTTCAGGGTAGTACGTCCCAGGTGCTGTATGATTAAAAATTTGATATTAAAAAAAAAAAACAACACAGTTTTCGTATTTTAAAATTATTTCTTCAAAAAAAAAAAAATAATTCTAGCATTGAGGGAGAGGGGGGTAAGGTATTAAAATTATTTTTTTATTTTTTTAACTGAATGCATAATAACTGAAGGCATTGACGATTCAGTGTGAGGTAAGCCGATAAAATTCGCTTATGAACGTTTTATACCAGATTTTTTAGTGTTAAAAACTTTAAAGCGTTTTCCTCACAACTCACGTTTTCAAAGTCTGTGCCCCTCATAACTTGAGAACTACCGCACCGATCCCTTTGAAATTTTGAACACTAATTCTGTACCTACTTTACGAGGTAACGCTGGAGAGTTTTTTTTTCAAATTTATTAATAATTTTTACTTTACAATAACAAATTAGCCGATTTATTTTCGTAAAAATCGCGTTTTTCCCTTCAGTGTTCCAAAAAAGTAAAAAATTGAAATTTTAAAAAACCCTCCCAGCATTACCTGGGGAAAAATATTATCTAACGAATGAATTTACATTTTTTCATTTCCGATAATCCAGCACCAAGTTATGAGGGGCACCGCAATTCTACTTTTTTCCGAGATGCGTCCGAATAATTGCTGCCATTGCCGTATTTTTTAATATTTCTACATGAAAATTTTGTATAATGTTCTTCGAATGTCATATTTTACTGTACCATTAGTTTTAATAAAGAGATTTTAACTGCAAAGTGACAAAAAAATCACCTTTTTTGTACAAATTAACCTTACCCCCCCCCTCCCTAAAATTATATTAATAATATACCTGGTGTATCATTTCGATTTACAATAGGTGTTTTTAACCCAAAGCTGAATTCTGATGATTTATCTAAATTTACTTTTTCTGGAGAGTAAAATCCTGGAGCTACATATAGAAAAAAAAATCGTGGAAAATAATAATAAATTTATAGAAAATATTTTTCCTAAATATTGAACACTTTTTGTGTTAATTTAAGCAAATATACGCAAAAAAGTGTTAAATATTTAACATAAAAATTTTTTACTGTGTATTGTATATGATCACCCGAAAAAAAAAAAAAAAAAAAAACAAAAAGAAATACCTGGTGTATCATTATGATTTTCAATGGGTGTTTTTGACCCAAAAGTATACGCTGGTGTTTTATCTAAATTAACATTCTCAGGATAGTACGTTCCAGGCGCTGTATAAATGGAAAAATTTAGATAATAATTTAACAAAAAAATTATAATTTTTGTAGAAGATATTTTAATAAATTACCCGGTGTATCATTTCGATTTCTAACAGTTGTTTTAGTACCAAAGCTAAATTCTGATGTTTTATTTAAATTCACGTTTTCAGGGTAATACGTCCCAGGTGCTGAAGAAAAATAGAGAATTTAAAATTTATAGTAACAGAAAATAAATAATAAGTATTTTTTATAAAATAAAGAATTACTACAGTACCTGGTGTATCATTTCGACTTTCAATGGATGTTTTTGAGCCGAAACTATATTCAGGTGCTTTATCGAAATTTACTTTTTCGGGGTAGTATGTTCCAGGTGCTATGTAAAAAAAAAAAATAATAAACTTATATAATGTAAATAAAAAAAGAAATTATATTTTGTGTAAAACTTAAAAGGTATCCGGAATTTTACCCCTAATTTAAAATCGAAGTCAAATTTAAAGCGAAATATTAAAAAGTTTGGAAAATCCAAAAGTGCACGCCTCATAATCTCATTTTCTACAACAAAATTGATTTAAATAAAACACAAAAAACAAAATAATAAAAAACAGAAAACTCTGCTATGGTTTATTGGCGCCATAATTCTAAGGTGAAGAAAAAAAATACCATAATAAAATGTATATTTAGATATACAAATACACAGTCGCGTCTTAGTTTTTTATAAATAATAATTAAACGACAGTGAATTGAACGGTCATATTAATTGAGAAAGTCCTTAGTGTGTTACTTTAGATGATAAAAAAAAAATTATTCCGGTAAGATTATTTTTTCAAGCAATTTCACTGCCACATACACGGATCCATAAGGAAAGATTATTTTTAATTTTACAGTATTTTGTTTCTAAAGACTAGTTTATATTATATATATTTCTTTTTACAATTGTAAAATTGACTATATTTACAATTATTATTGACGATCTAGCCTATCGCACTTTGCAAATTGCACTAATATTTTATAATTTTTAGCCAGTATTCCTTCCTGGCATAAACAATTATTTTTTTTATTCTTAAAATAAAATATTTTTATTCTAAAAATTCTGGTCTGGGCCGTCCGAATTATTTTTTCAGTTGAATTTATCTCTAATGACAAATTTTAAGAATAAAAAAAATAATTGTTTATGCCAGGAAGGAATATCGGCTAAAAATTATAAAATATTAGTGCAATTTGCAAAGTGCGATAGGCTAGATCGTCAATAATAATTGTAAATATAGTCAATTTTACAATTGTAAAAAGAAATATATATTATTTTTAATGTTATTATTTATTATGTTAAACAAAATAATTGCTATTGAAATATATTTTATCTGCCTGACAGATCATTTGACTTGATATAAGTGCACTCTTATTATCCTTTTTTTTTTTAATTAATTTTTATTTAGAGTCGGTTTTAACTACTGTGGTCATATCGCCGACTTTAACTGTTGGGAGTGGTATGTTGGGGTCTTTTTGGGTTGTGTAAATCTCTTATTATCCTGTAAGTGCGATATAAGTAAAAAAAAAATCAGTTTCAGTTTCGAGAAAATTGCTTTTTTTGACATGTCGAGAGTAGAGCACTACCTCAACGCTTCGCTTATAAGACGTGCAATAAATATTTTTTATAAGATAACGAATTACTACAATACCTGGTGTATCATTTCGACTTTCAATAGATGTTTTTGAGCCGAAACTATATTCAGGTGCTTTATCAAAATTTACTTTTTCGGGGTAGTATGTTCCAGGTGCTGTGTAAAAAAAAGCAATAAACTTTGTTTAAATAAAAAAATTAATTGTAATATTGTGTGTAGAACTTAAAAAGTATCCGGAATTTTACCCCTAATTTAAAATATGAAGCGAAATATCAAAATTATCATCCGTAATTTTTTTTTGTTGGGAATTAAGAAATGCGCGCACTTCTCTTTGAGCCAAAATAACTTTTTGGAAATAAAAATTTATTTCTATTCACTAATTGCAGATGAAATTGTGGCAGCATTAAAGAAGAAATAATGCAATTGAAGCTTAATTTTTTCAGTAATATTTAAAGAAATTAATAACTCACCAGGCGTGGAGTTAACTTTATCAACTTGTACTTTTACTCCAAAAGAATATTTTGGTGAACTATCTTGGATTATACTTTCTGCTTTTTGTGGGTCGTAGTCTCCTGGAGCTGGGGTGGATTCTATTTTGTCTACTTTATTACGGCCATGTAGCGACAATGCTGGAGCAGTATTTTTTCCTGAAAATAATTAATCAAAAAATTATAAAATTATTTTAATCAGCTATGATTGGGAAAGGAAAAAATTTTTTCTATAATAAAAAAAAAAATTATATTAATTTTTTAAATAAAAAAAAACTATGAATCTAATTTTTAGTTAAAAAAAAATTTTTATCTTAAAAATCATTGTTTTAATTTTTGCAGGGCTTTAAAATTTTTAGGATTTCATTTTTAAAAAAATTTTAGAGAACATTTTTGAGATTTTAATAATTTATTTTTTAAGCGTTAGTTTTTTAATCTGAATTAAAAATAAAACTTTTATTGCTATTCAGTATATGTTTAAAATATATAGATATATTTTAAAATTGCATAAAATTTTATCCTTAAGTTAAAAAGGACTTTTTTGCTTTGACCGACAATAATTCCACGTAAAATCATCGTACAGTACTCGCAATTATATCAAATTAAAGAGAATTGAATTATCTGAGAGTTTTATAGTCAAAATTCAGAATTTTTTTTATAATTACACTAAAATTAGATATTTAATTATATTTTTAAGCGTAAATTTAAAAATTAAATTTTTAAAACTACAAAAAATTTAAATTTTTGTAACTAATATGTTATTATTATTAAGTACTCCAATAATTCTTAAGTTTTAAATTAAAACAATTGCAATACAAAATTCTAAGTAATTTACTTCCAAAAAATTATATTACACCTGTAATAAATTTAAATTCAATAAAATATTTCAATAATAAAAGATAAATAGAACAATACGCATGTAAAATAACTTAAGACTTCAATTAAAATCCGATTAATATTTTCATGACCATTTTTCTCATTACCAAGGTCAGATGGTGTCATATATAGACAACTACTGATGACTCGCTTATTTTTTTATAGCTTTTAGTGAGTATAAATATCAACTAATCAAATCATTTAAATAGATAATATAATAAATTATTTAATTTTACTGATACTAAAGCCCAATAACACTATATAGATATTCATAAAAAATAAACTTTTTTTTATCTATAGATAATAAATATACATTATACCGCGTTCTAGTTAGTTTGATCGATATACTCGGATCTCAATGTCAAAGAACAATATCTTTATAAATAATAATTGAATTATTTTCAATTGTTAATTTTTTCAATCTTTATAAAAAATAATGCTTCTAAAATTTTTTTTTTATTTTTCACATTTAGAATTTTTTATTTTATTTTTTTTCATAATAATTAAATTGCTATAAAATTATAAAAAAATTTCTAATGTTTGTTACATTGAGTGTTAATATTTTTATTAGCTATAATTAACTAAATAAAATTTTTGTAAAAAAAAATTTACCTTTTGCGCTTAAGCCAGATACATTATATTGTCCTGGTCCGGGGCCTGGGCTTTCATTTTTTAGTGAATGTCTGAAATTATAAAAATAAATAAATCACTCGTTACTAAATAAAAAAAAAACACTAAAATGTCATCTTTAATATAGCTTGCAGCAATTACCGGCTACCAAATGAAAACGCTGGAGCTCGACCTCGTTTCGAATCGGGGACAGTTTTACCTGGAAAAAAAAAAAAAATATTGATAAATAAATTTTTATTCCAATCTTGGAATTTATCGCGAATTATTTTAACAACCTATGAGTGTGGGAAGAGAAACACATGCCGGTCCGGGACTTCGAAATTCGGCACTGATTGGTCCTCGTCTTTTTGTTGGAGACCATTGTCGTTGTACTAAGCCACTCATTTCTAGACAAATAATCTTAATTATTTTTAAAATTATCGGCTTTAATAAATTCAAAAAAAAAATTTTAAAATGAATGAATTTAATTAATTAATAAAAAAAAATGACAAAAGTGCAATTAAAAAAAAAAAGTTTCAATAAATTAACTTAGTACCCATAAAAAAATTTTTCTGTCCAAAATTTCAGTATTAATTTTTTAAAATTAAAATTTTAATATTAAATTTATGAAATTTTCATTTGAAAATTTTTTTTATTAATAATATTTTTTTAATTTGATTTAAATAAAATTTAAGTAAAACTTAAATTTACCTTTTAATTATCTGATGATGATTAACAATACTTTTTATAATTATTAGTTATACCACAAGATTTCAATATTATTTATAATTTATTTATAAATAAAAGAAATCAATGTAAATTTTGATTAAACTCACAAAAAACTTCGAAAATAATTTTTTGATGTGAAAATAACACTCACAGGAAACACAATCCTTGGATTGAATAGTCTTGCAACAAATCCAACAAATGTTCTTAAATCTGGCAAGTCTTACTTCAGACTTAAGTCAATTTTATCCGCATGCGCGCTTTTTCCTCTACCTATGAGATGTTATTTGAGAAATACATGCGCAGTACCGCGACAAAATTTAAGATTTTAAATTACGGATGATAAATATATTTTTTTTACAGTTTTTTTAGGAACAGTGGGTACCCCACCAAAAATATGTATTTGTGCGCTATGAAAAAAAATTAACTTAAATTAAGACGAAAAATTCTTAAAGCAAGTAAAATTTATTTAAACCAAGATTTCTTATTTTAAAAATTTTTCTACGCAAATTAAAAAGATTAAGTTATTAGAATTATTTTCTTGATTCAAATTAATTTTTATTCATGTGCGCTGTGAGAGGATCATTATTTTAAATTTTATTATTTAATTTATTTATTTATTTAAAAAATTTATTTAAAATTTTTAATTTAAATACTTATTTAAATGAGTATATTCAATACTTATTAACTTGTATCGTTCTCATCCGACATCATATCACTCAATCGGTTGCCACTCAATATACTAATGAGCGATTTACGTATAAATTAAATTTACAATTTTCCTTGATGATTAATGTAGATTATTTTGTATTTAAATATATGTACGTACATTACAATGAATTTTGCCAGCATTTACCCGCTGCTTTGCTCGCGTTGAAGTTCTTCGATAAATATCAAAGATCATTACATTCCAAAAAAAAACTGAATCAATGTGATTCTAATTTTTTGACAAACAATTTTTTTATTTTTCGTAAAAAATAAATTTTTTTCTTTAATAAAAAGTATCCTATGTTACTTTTGATACTTCAAAGAATATGTGTACAAAGTTTCATGATGATCGGTTAAATAGTTTTTGCGTGAAAGCGTAACAAACAAACTTACATTCACATTTATAATATTAGTAGTGATTATAAAAATTTTTTTCAATTTTCACATTGTGAACTTTAATTTTTAACTTAAAATTTAATGAAAATTAACATCTAAAAATTATTTTTATTGAAAAAATTATTAAAAAAAAAAAAATTATATTTGTAAAAATCTTGAAAAACTATAACGCAATTTTTAAAAAAATATTTTTTAGTTTTTAATAAATTTAAAAAAAAAATCAAAAACGTCGACTAACTTTAGTATTATTAAAATTAATCAGATTTTTTGTAAAATATCTCTAAAAAAAGAATTTTTGACATTACACGGAGAGAAAAATATGGAAATCATTCCTATAATTTTAATGAAATATTTTCCTATACCATTTTAGGAGCGATTACTTAAATTATGGGAATTATACCCAATGCCAATAATATTGGAGTAATTTTTTTTCACACAACTGTGGTATTTAATTAATTACTTTTCACTAGATTTATTTTTTTTTGATTAAGTGATTCTTTTTTTATAATATATAAATTGATAAAAAAAGTTATCAGTAATAATATTTATTATTATTATCATTATGAAATTAATCAGTTGCAGCAGTTGATATTTTTTTAATCTTGAATGATATACATGCTTGTAAATTAAAATAAAATTAATTAAAAAAAAAAAAGTTAATTAAAAAAAAAAAATTCCTACTAGAAAAAAAAAATTCTTAAATAAAATAAAATTTCCAACTGTTTTGAAATTCCAAATTTTCAAAAGTTTTCGCGGCTCAACGTATGTATTCTAAATAAATAATTTGCTTTAACTTAAAAATAAAATGAAATTGTGAAAATAAACAATAAATTTCCATATCTATTTTGCTCCTACAATAGTATAGTGAGAAAATATCCTTTTTATTAGAGAAACTTTAAAATTGCTACAATATTTTTCAATATTATTGAACACAATAATAACTGAGCTAGAATAAATAATTCAAGATTAAGCAAGATTAACTACATACGTGAATAAAAATTATGAATTTTTATTTACAAAAAAAAATTTTATTAGCAAAAAAATATATAATAATTACTTTATATTTTTGAAGTGATTGCTTCATTATTAAGAAAATAAACTTTTTTTCTATTATTATGTACGTCATTCCCATAATATTATAGGAACCATTCCTATAATATTATAGGAACCATTCCCATAATATATTGAAGCTATTCCATTATTGTATAGGAACGTTTCCAATAAATTATGGGTATGGTTCCCATAATGAGTATAGGATTAATGCCTATAATGATAATTTTATTATAGGATCCATTCCCTTAATTGTTGGAAAGATTCCTATAAATTTCTCTCCGTGTATTATATGATATTAAAATTAGCCGACGTTCAAAATTTTTGATTTTTTTTTGTTATTAATTAAATTAGAACTAAAAAAATATTTTAAAAAAATTGCACGTATAGTTTTTAAAATTTTCTACATTTGAAATTTTATCTTTTAGCATTTTTTTTAATAATTTTTCAATAATATAAATTTCAAAAAGTTTCAGATATCGTCTAATTCAATTTTCATAATTATCATTTATGAAGCAGAAAAATTTCCAAGCAATAACAATCTTTCTTACAGTTTTCTTCTTACTTAAAAAATGGTTCAATAAACAAGCTAAGTACTGTATCTAATGACATTACATTGACATTTATTACCGTCAAAAATACTTGTCTTCAAGTAATGAATAATTAAAAGATACAGGCCATTGCCTTAAAGATTAATAATTTAATAATCAGATAAAGCAAAGTAATATCAAGGCTCCACTAAAGCTGACATTGAGTCTTGAAACATAGTTTCAAGGCAAGGTTAGCGTTTCCCAATCATCTTTTTTTCATCTACCTAGGTAGGTTTACCTGAAAATATTACTTCCGAAAAAGTTTGCAAAGTTTTAAATAAATTCGCAAATAAAATTAATTTCATTTTAATTTTTTAATTTATTAAACTAGAACTAAAAAATATTTTTAAAAAATGGCACTTATAGTTTTTAAAGTTTTTTTAAAAATGTAATTTTTTTTCTTTATTTTTTTGTAATAATTTTTAAATTAAAAAAATTATAAAAATTTTTAGATGTCGGCTAACTTAATTTTCATCGTAATTGCGTATATTACAGTTAATAATATAATATAAATAATTGTGATTTAAAATTAATCGGAGAATAAACCATAATAGGAAACTGGTTTGACCGTGATTGTTATCGAGATGACATAATTGTCGTATTCTTAAACGTAGGATTAACTGCCCACACATGATCTGACCTTTTTTAAACACCCATTTTTGTATACCAGACTTACCGTCATTTTATTTAATTATATTCTCAAGGCGTAAAAACAATGACTAAATTCGGTTAAAAAGTGAGGTAATCGATAAGTCTTTTTCGATCTTGATAATCAAATTTTTTTTAACCAGAATCGAAAAATAAATGCTGTAATATAATTATTTCTGTTGATTAGTAAATTCATAATAATGCTTCCTAGATTCATCAGGATTTTTCTGAATTATGAACGGCCACTTAAATTTTACAAAAATCTATTTCATCGACGCGGTCAGAAAAGAAGAAATGGAAGACTAAAATTTTATTTTGTCTTACTCGAATCTCGTTATCGGTCTGATTATGGTAGACAGGGGAGAAAGAAAAGTGCGAAGGGTGTATAAAAAATTTCCATGTATGGTTTTATGAAGAACAAATTTATAACGCGCTTTAATTTTACTAATTTTAAAATATGTTTTGAAAATAAACAATTTAAAAAATTTTTTTTTAATTGTTATTATTATTATAATAAAATTTTAATAAAAAATTTCTACAACTAAAAATAACATCAGAGTTAGCCGAAATTTAAAATTTTTTGATTTTTTTTTAATAATTAAATTAAAACAAAAAAATATTTTTTTTTAATTATTAATTTTTAAGGCAATGTATCTTTGAATCACTCATTACTTGAAGACGAGTCATTTTGACGGTAATAAATGTCAATGTCATGTTATTAGATACAGTACTTAGCTTGTTTATTAAACCATTGTTTAAGTAAGAAGAAAAAACTGTAAGAAAGATTGTTATTGTTTTTGGAAATATTTCTATTTCATAAATGATAATTATGAAAATTAAATTAGCCGATATCTGAAAATTTTTATAATTTATATTATTGAAAATTTATCAAATAAAAATTAAAAAAAAAAAATTTCAAATGTAGAAAATTTTAAAAACTATGCGTGCAATTTTTCAAAAATATTTTTTTAGTTCTAATTTAATTAATATATAAATAATCAAAAATTTTTGAACGTCGGGTTATTTTAGTATCATATGATAATGTCAAAAATTCTTTTTTAGAGATATTTCACAAAAAATTTGATTAATTTTAATAATAATTAAGTTAGTTGACGTTTTTGATTTTTTTAATTTATTAAATTAGAACTAAAAAATATTTTTTAAAAAATTGCACTTATAGTTTTTTCAAGTTTCTTACAAATGAAATTTTTTTGTAATAATTTTTTCAATAAAAAAATTTTTAAATGTCGGCTAATTTAATTATCAATGACATTAAAGGTAGTAGTCACTTAACAATTTTTTAATTTTAGTCAGTAAAAAAATTTCTTGCAAAAAAATAATTTTTAAAAAATTGCATTTTTTATTTATAAAAATTTCTACATGTCTTTTTTCCCATAATTTATTTATTATAAAATTATTAAAAATCTGAAAAATTAATTTTCATGATATAAAATATTATTATAAAGTCATAAAATTCCTTATTTTTAAATGAAAATTAAGTTGGCCGACAATTAAAAATTTTTAGAATTTTTTTTTTATTGAAAAAATTATTACAAAAAAACAAAAATAAAAATGTCACTTGTAAAAAACTTCAAAAACTATAAGTGAAATTTTTTAAAAATATTTTTTCGTTTTAATTCAATTACTTAAAAAAAAATTCAATAATTAAAAACGTCGGCTAACTTTAGTATCATTATTTTGAAAATGGCGGGTCCCGGCTAACTTCAGCGCTATTGGAATAGGAACGAACTAACGAACTGTCAAGTGATTCTACTGTACTTACGGTATATATATAAAAGAACCATAATATTTACAAACTTTAACTGTATGTATGTATCAACCAAAAGACAGATGGTTTAATTATTTATTACTTTGTAATTTAAATTGAAATAAATAATAAATTTATCAGCATTTAAACTATAGTATTAATAGGCAATAATGGATTTACATATAATGCCAAATAAGGTAATTAATACATTTTTATTTTTCTCAGTTAATTGTAATAATTTTTTCATTTAATTTTAGTGTTCGGCTACATAACCTTTAATTATGTCACAATTGTTTATAAAATAATCTAATATATGTCAAAATATTTTTATGAAATTAAATTTTTTTTAAACAAACAAATTTATTCCAAAAAATTATTTAAAAACAATTTTATTTTTTAAATTTTTACGTCAATTTTTTTTTTGCTATAATTTATTTGTTAAAATTTAATAAATGCTAAATTAATTTTCTTGAATTTTCAGAGTGAAGCAGATATGACTCCAGAAGAACGGAGAAGGTAATAAAAAATAATTAATTAAAAAAAAATTTATGAGTTTTTGACATTTAGAAAAATATGACATATTTTTTAGATTAATAAAATTTTTACAACTTTCAAAAATAATATTTTTAATTTCTAGAGCCGATCACATAAAATTGCATCAAAAACATGAAGGGCATGAATCAATGCACGCCGAAATGTTACTTATATTATTTATAACATTGATAGTAGTCCAAGTGCTGCTAGTAGAATGGAAAAAAAGATACTTCAAATCTTATCAGGTAATAGTCAATTAAATTTATAATCATAATAATAATAACCAACTCATTTAAATAATAACAATGTTTACAGTTAGTTACACTTATAGCGGTTTGGTTAATACCTTTTGGAATGTGTTTGAGAAACTATTGGTGGAGATTTATATTTTCATGGTTGCTATTTTCATGCATAACAGCATTAATAGTTAGAAAAGCTTTACAAAAACCCATTCGAGGAACAACACCTAGGTATTGTACAGTTTTTATTTTTATCTAATACTGCTTTTATCATTTTTAATTCTTTTAATGCTTTTATCAAATATTTAGAAATTCATTCTATACACTGAAAGAAAAAATTTATTTTAAAAAAATGGACAAGAAATTAAATTGTTAAAAATTTATGAAAATTAATTTAGCAGAAATTTTATAAATTTTTTAATAAATAAAATATTGCAAAAAAAAATTAAAAAATTAAAATCCAATTTTTTTGAAATAATTTTTTGGAACAAATTTGTTTGTTAAAAAATGATCAAGTGACTGCTAATTTTAATGTCATTAAAAATTTCATTTCTTAGCTGAGGAAATGAAAATTTTTTTTCACAATAATTTTCTTTTTGAAAAAAAATTTTTTTTTTTTGAAAAAAATTATTTTAAATAAACAACTTGCGAATGTTAATCCAAAATTTTTGTAATTATGTCCATGTGAGGTCAACCTTATTTTTGGCCATATCTAGGTGAAAAATTACCATTTTTTTATTCTGCTTGTTTTTACGGCGAATTTATAATAAAAAATGTCGTGAAAGGAAAAAAAATAAAGATTTCGATAGCTTTTTTGCCTTCAAAAGTTGGAAAAAATTTTGGCTTTCATGTTTTTGAATAAAATTTCTATTTTATCTTTTTTTGATATTTTTTTTAAAGTTCATAAAAAAACGAACAATTAAAAAAAAAAAAAATTTGATATCACAATTTTCTAAAAAATTCATAAATTTTTTTGAAAATTTGGAAAAATTGTGATAATCGACTTGTTTTTTTTTTAAATTGTTCATTTTTTCATGTATTTTTCAAAAAAAAAAAAAAAAATATCAATAAAATCAAATAGAAATTTCGTTCAAAAAAATGAAAATTAAAATGGTTGATCCCACTTGTAAATATTTACCAAATTTTTTTCACAATAATTTTCTAGTTAAAAAAAAATTTTTTTGTTCTTGAAAAAAATTATTTTAAATAAACAACCTGCGAATTTTAATCTAAAATTTTTTTTCCCAAATCTAAAAAACTTTTCAATAAAAAAATTATTGAGAAAAATTTTTATTTCTTCAGCTAAGAAACAAAATTTTTAATAAAATAATTTTTCTATTAAAACATCGGTTATTTTTTTCAAAATAAACTTTTTCTCTCAGTGTACCTTTCTTTAATTACTTGAATTTTTTTTTTAATTATACTTGAAAAAAATAAACATATATGCAATACAAATTTTTTTTTTACAGATTAGTTTATAAATGGTTCTACTTTATATACAGGCTTAGTTATGTCCTTGGAATAATAGGTTACATAATTGCACTAGCAACATTTTTTGGATTAAATTTAGTTTTTGATGTCAAGCCATCAATTTGGATGGACTGTGGCTTATTATTTTTATTTTATGGACTTTATTTTGGAGTATTAGGCCGTGATATAGCTGAAATTTGTACAGATAAAATGGCAGCTCATATAGGAGTAAGTTTTTTCATATTTTTTTAAATATTTTTACAAAAAAAAATAAAATAATATTTATTTTCAGTATTATGTACCAGGCAGCATGCCTACAAGGACATTAGACCCTAATGTATGTGCTGTTTGTGGTAATAAAATTTTAGTTCCTGAATTTGAGGAAGGAGTTATCGAAAACAGTTACAAGTTGAGTTGCGAACATATTTTTCATGAGTTCTGTATTAGAGGATGGTGTATCATTGGAAAAAAACAAACTTGTCCTTACTGCAAGGAGAAAGTTGATCTCAAGAAGATGTTTTGTAATCCGTATCCTTTTTTAGTATATATATATTTTTTTACTATCAATTTATGAATACTTTTTTTTTGACGTTATTTCATAAATGATTGAATTTACAGAAAAATTATTATTAATAAACTTTTAAGAAATTTAATTTCTTACAAAGGTCCTTCAATCAAAATTACTAAGATTGATATTTCTCGAGATATAGATCATATACTTTTTGGTCGTATGAAAAATTTATGATACTAAAATTAGCAGACATTTGACAATTTTTGATTTTTTGAATCAATAAAAATTGTAAGTAAAAAAATATTTTTAAAAAATTGCAATTAGAATTTTAAAAAATTTCTACATGTCAAATTTTTGAACAATTTTTTTTAATAAAAATTTTCAGATGTCGGTGAATTTAATTGTCATAAAAATTTCATTTAATGATATTAAAGACTCAAATTTTCAGGGAATTTTTTTAAAATTTTTAACAAAATTTTATAATACGAAAAAAAAACTTTCACTGAGAGAAAAAATTTATTTTATAAAAATGGGTATTGTGACAAGAAATTAATTTATTCAATTTTATTTCTTAGCTTAAGAAAAAAATTTCCTTCACAGTAATCTATACTGTTAAGAAAATAAGAAAAATTTTTTCTCCAGGATAGTCATATAATAAAATCGGTTTTTTTTTTTAGTCAAATTAAGTGTCATTACAAAGGTCTTGACTTGAATTTGTGCCTTTTCAAGTTTTCATATCATTCTCACCGATAGTCAATTTATGATGATAAGTATTAAGGCTTCATTCGAAAATTCTCTATCTCTAGATACATAATTAAGAAATGACCTTTTATCTTGTGAATTATTGAAATTTTTAGAGATATAAGCTCACCCTGACATTACCCTCATCGAGACCTTTCATTTGAGTACCCACATCAATTTTTCATATATTTACGTATATTATATATATATATATATATATGAAAAATATATCAAAATCCATGTGGGTACTCATATGAAAGCTCTTGATGAATGTAACGTCGGGATGAGCTTATATCTTTAAAAACGTCAATAGTTAAGAAAGTACAGTGCAATTTAAAAAAAGTCATTATTTAATAATGCAAAATTTTATTTATTTATAGTTCACTAATCATGGCAGTCACATAGTTACTGCAAAGTTGCTAGTTTTCTTATTAAAAAATAAAGTTTTATAGATTTGAAAAAAAAAAATTTTTTTTGATAAAAATTCACAAGTTCTCTAAATTTTTTCACCAAAAAAATTTTTATTTCTTCAGCTAAGAAATAAAATTTTTAACAAATTTCTTACTACAATTTTTTTAAAAATAAGTTTTTTTTTCTCTATGTGCAATATTAACAGAATTTAACATGGAATAATTTTTTCAGTTGTCATAAAAAATTGACTATTTAAATTTTACAAACAAACTTTGTTGACCTTAACAATATAAATTTATAATACAGATGGGAAAGGCCACATGTACTTTACGGACAATTATTGGATTGGATCAGATGGTTAGTAGCTTGGCAACCATTAATTTTATTCCTAGTTCAAGGAATAAATTGGGCATTTGGCCTCGAATAGGTAGTGTAAAGCTAACTGTGAATAAAACCAAATCTAATAAATAAATTAAAAAAATGAAAACATACCATAGTAATTTTTATATTGTCGTATTATATAAAATTCTCGCTAAAAATATCGAGATAATAATTTAAATGAGAAATTTATTGAAGAACTTACATAATTACATTTGGATAAGTCACTTTAGTAAATATTAATGAAAATTAAGGATTTATTTATAACATAGCTGTAAAAAAGGTAATTTAAAAACCTATGTTCAGAAATTTAATTTCTTTTACTCGAATTTGTTAAACATAATTTTACAATCGTTGATAAGGTTTTCGATCGGTGAAGAAATTTTTAAGCACTAAAACTTGTCCAACAGTTGTAACTAATATGGCAATTGTTTCCATAATGGACCACCACAAAACTCTTTCGTTTAAATCTTCAGCTCGTTTACGTCCTTGAGCTTCTCTTAATCTATGAGAAGTTTGGAAGTCGACAATACGGACCAAGTTTTTGTGCACTTCTTGAGCCGAAGATTCCATCTGAAATTACAATTAAATAATTGTAAAAAGAAATTTTAATTGAATTTTTTATATAATTTTTCATAAGTAGATTTGGTTGTACCTGAGTCATTACTGTAACGTGCTCTTCCAATCCAGGAACAGCAAACTCGTCTCCAACTTGGAAATCCATGTAGACTAACTTATGAGAAAATGTTGAGAATTCATTACTGAAACATGTTTTATATTCTCCTGTCATTTGAGCAGTAAATGTGTGAGAGTCAAATTGCGTTTTTACTTGACGATAAATTATTTCTTTATTCGGTGCTTCTAGTGTTACATCGATGTCATATTGACCACCAGTTACTACCTGAAATATAATTTTTAAAATAATTATTTTGAAGTTGTTAAAAAATTTTAAGTTTGGGTTATTATTTCAAAATAGAGGCCATTATTTTTTTTTTTTCAATTTCGAAAAATAATTTTTTTTTTTTTACGGCACATTCATGAATGAAAATTAATTTAGCATATTTTTTGTGACATTAAAGTTAGCAGTCACTTGACAATTTTTTAATTTTATTTAACAAAAAAATTTATTCAAAAAATTGCATTTTTTATTTTTTAGAATTTCTACTATACGTCAATTTTTTTTTTTTATTTTTTTTGATGACACTGAAGTTGACAGACATTAGAAATTTTTTTATAATTTTATAGTAATTAAATTATTATAAAAAAAAATTCAATTAAAAAATTCCACATGTGAAAATTAATAAAAATTACAAGTGAAAATTTTTAAAAATCATTTTTTTATTGTTGCTATTGGTAGCAACTACTGAAAAAATCATAAATACATTTTTTAATTAGTTTTATTTAATATTAAAAAAATTTATGACATTAAAATTAGCACTTGATCATTTTTTAATTTCATTTAACAAATATGCTCCATAAAATTATTTTTTTTCAATTTCTAAATGTAAATTTTTTTACCATAATTCATTTTTTTTTTAAATTTATAAAAATTATGAAATATCTGTTAAATTAATTTTCTTAAAAATTTTTATGTTATTAAAATAATAAATAAAAAATGGAGTTTTAATTTTTTAAATTCTAACTTTGATAAAAAATTGTATATAATTATTTAATAATACTTAAGTTAGCCGACGTTTCTATTTTTTTTTTTTTTTTAATTTATTAATTTTAAAAATTGTACTTACAGTTTTTCCAAAGTTTTTACAAATGAAAATTTTTTTAAATTTTTTCATTGAAAAAAAAATTTTTACATGTCGGCTAACTTAATTTTCATAATTATTTAATGAAAAAGTTAACCGACATTTCAAAACTTTTAGAAATTTTTTATTGAAAAAATTTCAATTAAAAAATTAAAAAAAAAAATTTCACATCTAAAAAACTTGAAAAACTAGAAGTGCAATTTTTTAGAAATATCTTTTTAGTTGTAATTTAATTAATAAAAAAAATTAAAAATTTTTAGACGTCTGCTAACTTCAGTGTCATAATTATTTAATGTAATTTTTGGACATTAAAATATTGTGGACTCAATTTCCAAAAAATTACTAGTTAGTATACAAAAAAAAATAAAACAATATACATACTTGAAATTCAAGAGTAGCTGACGTGTTTTTTTCTATCTCCTGATAGAAACATTCTTTGGCATTGTCTGGCAATTCAAATGTTAATTCTACACTGCCCGCAAATAAAATAAATGATAAAAATGAAGTGACAAAAATTAACCTCTTAAAAAGATTCATTGTTGCATAATGTGGAGATAAAGTTTCAATCAATAGCACATTAATAATTAATAATAATCTATAAATTATTATTTGATAATTAAATTGTAATCTTATTAGCTAATGTACAAAATGACTTAGCTACACCTTTCAAAATTATATATCACCAAAGTGTCAACGTTTACATTGAATTATTATCAGCTATACTTCTAACGTGGCCGGATATCACAATACATACGTAAACATAATCTATATATCTATATTTTGCATTTAAAATACATGTCAGATTAGCCAATGATGTAGCTCCAAAAACTGGGTGGCATTTTCTACCACAATTTTGTTTTAATTTGTTCTTTTTATTTAAATTAAAAATATTAATTATTTAATTTAAGAAGAAATGGATAAAATTTTTTTCATTTTTTATTTTATTTATATAAATAAAAATAATTTTTATTGTTATTGTATTTTTTTTTTTGACGCTAGAGAGAGCCACTACTTATAACTTAAGGCGCATTCATTTTTTGGTGACCCAACCGTAAAGCGTATATATGTACGTCATCTTTTCCATATGAAAATTAATTTAGCATAAATTAATTCATTTTAAGAATTTTAAAATTAATCAATTATGGTTAAAAAAAATTGACGAAGAAATTTTAAAAAATAAAAAATGTAATTTTTTAAAAATAATTTTTTTTTTAAATTAATTAATTTTAAGAATTTTAGAATTAATCAATTATGGCAAAAAAAAATTGACGAAGAAATTTAAAAAATTCACAATGTAATTTTTAAAAAATATTTTTTTTGTTAAAACAAATGGAAAAATTCTCAAGTGACTGCTAACTTTAATGTCATACTTTACATGCGCTTGTATTTAGATTAACGATAATATGGAGAGCAGAAGAAACAAAAAAATATTTTCAAAAAATTGCACGTATAGTTTTTTAAATTTTCTTTACATAGAATTTTTTCTTCTAATTTTTTTTTTGTTATTATTTTTTTAATAAAAAAAATTTTGAAAAATTGTCAAATGTTTGCTAATTTTATCTTCATGTTATTTTATCTCATAAGAATTAATTTTTCTTTTTAAAGTTCTATCTTTTTGTCTACAATTTACGTGAAATAAGATGAAATTTAATATTTTATATTTATTCTAGTATTCACTAGCTCATAAAACTGAAAATGCTCATGAAGATAGCATTTGGAGTTGTGCTTGGGAGGGTTGACCAAAGAAGAAAACCGATAATCCGCCAGACAACGAAGATTCACAGTAAGAAAATTTATTATCACGTCAAAAATATTATTTATAAAAATTATCTGACATATTTTTTATTTTTTCATGAAAAAAAAATTTTTTTAAGAATTCGCACTCGAAATTTTTAAAAATTTCTAATAAAATATTTTAAAAATAATAATCAAATTTCATCATAATTAATTATTTTTAATTTCATGATTTTTTAATTTTTATTTTTAGATTTTTTTAATAAATTATTAACAAAAAAAAAATTGAAACAGAAAAATAAATAAAAAAAAAGAATTTTCGGTCGCATAGAGGGGGTGTCGAAGGTTACGGGTGGATTAGAGTTCGACGACTCCACACTGCCAGGTAATACTGGTCGCTCTGGCGCTATGGTTTTGTAGCAAGTGGAGAGGGAAGGCCTCTCTTCACGGTCCGCGCGAATGCAGGCCCCTATGAGAAACTCTCTTCAAAGTGCGCGCTTAGAGATGTGCGCAATCTATTATTGTCTTATTAAGAATTTCGAAGATCGATGTTTTTTCATGTTGATTTAGAGATGGAAACATAAGCTGAAAATCGATTCTCGATTCCGATTCTTTCTTTAGAAATTTCGATTCTTAGAATCAATTAATCAATTTCAAGAATCGATTCTTTTAAATATTTTTTTAATTTTAAGAAATAAAACTAGTAAAATAAGGTAAAAGGTACAATAAACTGTTAATTTATAAAATATTATATTTTATTAAAAAAGTAACATTTGAAAACATTGATAAAATTAGTATTTTACTCAAATAATTAATTAAATATTATGAAAACCATAAATTTTGTGGGATAGATTTTAAGAAAACCAACATATTTATTTAATGTAATTTTTGGACATTAAAATATTGTGGACTCAATTTCCAAAAAATTACTAGTTAGTATACAAAAAAAAATAAAACAATATACATACTTGAAATTCAAGAGTAGCTGACGTGTTTTTTTCTATCTCCTGATAGAAACATTCTTTGGCATTGTCTGGCAATTCAAATGTTAATTCTACACTGCCCGCAAATAAAATAAATGATAAAAATGAAGTGACAAAAATTAACCTCTTAAAAAGATTCATTGTTGCATAATGTGGAGATAAAGTTTCAATCAATAGCACATTAATAATTAATAATAATCTATAAATTATTATTTGATAATTAAATTGTAATCTTATTAGCTAATGTACAAAATGACTTAGCTACACCTTTCAAAATTATATATCACCAAAGTGTCAACGTTTACATTGAATTATTATCAGCTATACTTCTAACGTGGCCGGATATCACAATACATACGTAAACATAATCTATATATCTATATTTTGCATTTAAAATACATGTCAGATTAGCCAATGATGTAGCTCCAAAAACTGGGTGGCATTTTCTACCACAATTTTGTTTTAATTTGTTCTTTTTATTTAAATTAAAAATATTAATTATTTAATTTAAGAAGAAATGGATAAAATTTTTTTCATTTTTTATTTTATTTATATAAATAAAAATAATTTTTATTGTTATTGTATTTTTTTTTTTGACGCTAGAGAGAGCCACTACTTATAACTTAAGGCGCATTCATTTTTTGGTGACCCAACCGTAAAGCGTATATATGTACGTCATCTTTTCCATATGAAAATTAATTTAGCATAAATTAATTCATTTTAAGAATTTTAAAATTAATCAATTATGGTTAAAAAAAATTGACGAAGAAATTTTAAAAAATAAAAAATGTAATTTTTTAAAAATAATTTTTTTTTTAAATTAATTAATTTTAAGAATTTTAGAATTAATCAATTATGGCAAAAAAAAATTGACGAAGAAATTTAAAAAATTCACAATGTAATTTTTAAAAAATATTTTTTTTGTTAAAACAAATGGAAAAATTCTCAAGTGACTGCTAACTTTAATGTCATACTTTACATGCGCTTGTATTTAGATTAACGATAATATGGAGAGCAGAAGAAACAAAAAAATATTTTCAAAAAATTGCACGTATAGTTTTTTAAATTTTCTTTACATAGAATTTTTTCTTCTAATTTTTTTTTTGTTATTATTTTTTTAATAAAAAAAATTTTGAAAAATTGTCAAATGTTTGCTAATTTTATCTTCATGTTATTTTATCTCATAAGAATTAATTTTTCTTTTTAAAGTTCTATCTTTTTGTCTACAATTTACGTGAAATAAGATGAAATTTAATATTTTATATTTATTCTAGTATTCACTAGCTCATAAAACTGAAAATGCTCATGAAGATAGCATTTGGAGTTGTGCTTGGGAGGGTTGACCAAAGAAGAAAACCGATAATCCGCCAGACAACGAAGATTCACAGTAAGAAAATTTATTATCACGTCAAAAATATTATTTATAAAAATTATCTGACATATTTTTTATTTTTTCATGAAAAAAAAATTTTTTTAAGAATTCGCACTCGAAATTTTTAAAAATTTCTAATAAAATATTTTAAAAATAATAATCAAATTTCATCATAATTAATTATTTTTAATTTCATGATTTTTTAATTTTTATTTTTAGATTTTTTTAATAAATTATTAACAAAAAAAAAATTGAAACAGAAAAATAAATAAAAAAAAAGAATTTTCGGTCGCATAGAGGGGGTGTCGAAGGTTACGGGTGGATTAGAGTTCGACGACTCCACACTGCCAGGTAATACTGGTCGCTCTGGCGCTATGGTTTTGTAGCAAGTGGAGAGGGAAGGCCTCTCTTCACGGTCCGCGCGAATGCAGGCCCCTATGAGAAACTCTCTTCAAAGTGCGCGCTTAGAGATGTGCGCAATCTATTATTGTCTTATTAAGAATTTCGAAGATCGATGTTTTTTCATGTTGATTTAGAGATGGAAACATAAGCTGAAAATCGATTCTCGATTCCGATTCTTTCTTTAGAAATTTCGATTCTTAGAATCAATTAATCAATTTCAAGAATCGATTCTTTTAAATATTTTTTTAATTTTAAGAAATAAAACTAGTAAAATAAGGTAAAAGGTACAATAAACTGTTAATTTATAAAATATTATATTTTATTAAAAAAGTAACATTTGAAAACATTGATAAAATTAGTATTTTACTCAAATAATTAATTAAATATTATGAAAACCATAAATTTTGTGGGATAGATTTTAAGAAAACCAACATATTTAAACGATTAGGTGATAATCTACTTCTGAGCTGATTTGCAATCAACCCTGAGTGTGAAAATAAGCGTTCACACGGTGTTGATGTTGCAACAATGCTCAAGTATTTTCTAGTAACAACCGACAAATGGGGGTAATCAGATTCGAGCGATTTCCAAGTTGCAATCGGGTTAGGATTAGTTTTCCGGTCTACTGTAGATCGATTAATAAACTGCCTAAGTTCGATAGGCAGACGGTCTGTTTCATCACTGTCAGCGACTTGAATGTTGTGTTGCACAGCATCGTCTAAAAAATCCCACAGATCATGACTACCTGAAGATGGTTGATGATCTGTAAGATTATTTTCGCAGGTAATCGCAAGAGTTTTCGATGCTATAGTGTCATTACTCCGGCATCAAAATAAATTATAGACTCGATCACTAAGAATCGATTCTGATAACTGGGATCTATTCACATTGATTCCCGATTAATGTCGTTGTTTTGCCAGATCCAGTGTGGCCATATAAGAGGATCACTTTCGGTAACCTCTCCGTGCTATCCTCTTTGACCATTTTCAAGGTGTCGAGAGGACTTTCCGAGTATCCGTTGATTTTGATGGTTTCGAAAACTCCCATATTATACATTCCTACGAAATTAGAACCCAATTGAACTTGTTTGTTCATCATTTCTTCGAATTGAGTTTTCGCTTCCTCGAAGGACTAAAGAATGATTTTTACATTATCGACTGGAAAAATACAATTAAGGATATGATAATATAAGAGCTCGTTACAAGTGCTTTCACACGTCTAGATGAGATGGATAAACTCGAACATTCTACTGATGTTGTGACGAGTGACCGGCTAAATCACGCATCCCACCAAAAATTTTTCTTGTGGGAAGGATTCTCTATAATGCCTCTTCATACCGTTCTCTCCCGTGGTATATTTACATTCTGGGCACTTAAATTGACCTCCCTTATGCATTATCCAGATGTGGATTCGAATTTTGTCAAGCTTTATTTCCCCTGCTTGGCAATCATCGTTCAAGCATCTGAATTTTAAATGATTTCCAATTCGGGCAATTTCATCTTCCTATTTTATATCATTCATTCTGAGTTCCACAACCACGGATTTATGGGGTCAACCATTAATGTTTTGCGCAGGGTAGTTACCCTCCTTCGTTGATATGGCCTGCCGACATTTATCCGTGATTGTGGTCCAGGTCTTGATGTCGCCGATCATGGTGTTTCTGAGCTCGAGCTTTTCGCAGATGAAGGTTGCGATCTCGACTGCGCTGCTAATGGTGATTGCGATCCTGACGGCGCTGGTGATGATGTTTAGGATGATGATCTTCGCAATGGCGCGTCGAGCGAGCGTCCAAGGTTTGACGGTCCTACCGAATATCTTCGTTGGATCTGTCGAAGCTCTTCTAGTTCCTTATTTAACGCGGCAATTTCATTGTCACATTGAATCAGTTGATCGTCACATTGAATAAGTTGTCGCTTCAGATCCTCCAGTTTATTCCGCAATGCTGAGTTTATGATGCGCGACTCCTCTAACTCATCAAATAGATCTTCGATGTCTTGATTCGACATGGCTTTCTGCAGATTGATGTCTGAATTGTCACCATCATCATCTTTCCTTTGTCTTTCTGTGGTGTTCTCTTAAAATTGCCGTTCAAAAATCTGGCAATCGACTTTTCTAACCCATTGACTTTGGATTACATGAATAAGCCTCGAGATTGCTCCTCTGCTAAGTCCTCGGACTGACTGCTCCAGAAGAAGTCTGGAGACAGAATGCATGTTAAATAATTATTGCATCTCAGGTTGCCCTAATGAGAACATCAATGCAGTCCAAATTCCACAACGTAGACTGTTTAGTCTACTGGGCTGCGTTGACGTTTGAGAAATCTCTTATCTTGAGGTATTTCCGTTACGAAATACCTCGAATAATAATTAATCAACCTAAATATTAATTTATAAAATTCAAAATATATTTAAAATTTACCGGAACGTAAAACTGATATATATATATATAACAAATATAAATAATGCTGTGAAGCGGGAAAGAATGGGAGTTACGGATAATTATTACGTGAAGCGTTCCAACATTCACGTAACAGGATAATTGGTAGGAAAGGATTGAGAAAGGATTGTGGAAAGGATCATCTTAATGTGAGTTTATAGAATATGCGAGAAAAAATTATTAGATAGCTCGGACTGGGATTCGAACCCAGAACCTTCCGAAGACATGTCGGCTACTCTACCATTTGAGCTATCCGGTCTATACTAAATTTCCTTTCACTTATTCTATATACATTAAGCCACACCGTCCATCTTACGGTTAGCATATAATATATATATATATACAAATACATTCGTAATCACATACATTCAACACATTCATGCATTCAATATTATTATTATTATTCTGTGTTCAATTTTACGTTCTATGATGATCAAGCTTATCTTTATCTTTCAACTAAACTCATTGTGTTCCTTATTATTTATTTATCAATTGCATTCAGCTAATAATAATAGAGTAATTCTTAATTAATCATTAACAATTAATTATAATCATTTAATTATTTCTAATTACTTCAAAACAAACTTGGACTCGGCTTAGGTGATGAGTCACCAAAACCGACATTCCAAGGCGGCTTATATTAATTCAAAATTATATTTTATATTTTCACGTGGAAAATAGTCAGTCTCAAAAACGCATTCGTCATGTTCATCTCGCGCTTAACCAATTGTCGTGTTCATGTTAATTTTATTGTAACGCAATTGTTTAAAATAACTACATTTCAGTAATATTGTTTACGCTCGAATAATTAACAGTTGATATTAATGATGCTATTAATTAATTAAATAAAATACAATTAAATAGTCAATGTGATCTAAAACATTCAAATGTTCAATTAAGTTCATGAAATCATATGATAATGATGCATTTCAATTTTAACTGTTTATTTTCTGAACACATCTATCAAAATATTATGTAAATAAAATTTGTATTAATTAATATTTAAAAAAACTAAATTATGATAAAAAATTTCTTCTTTCAATTTTCCTCGAGTATTTTATAATGTAATTGCTTCTTTTGTCGGTAAGCTATATTAGATCTTAATTTTTTTAAGTATTTTTTTTCAGATTTTTATTTGAATTAAACATTAAAATTTTTTTGTTTAATTATAACTTAATATTTTCAAATGCATTGCATCAGTTGAAGTAATATTTTACTTCGAATAGTATATCTATCATTTTCCCCTTCTTTCTTATTACGAATGTGTAGTTTGTATAAAAATGACGCACATTGTTGCTTCTACGTTTATTTCTAAAACGGACATGCGTCAATAAACACAGTTGCATTTTTTGTATTGAAAAACAACAAGTGATCTTGGATGAAAAATCGAAAATGACTAATTTTTAAAATTTATCTAAGTACGCGTGTATTAAAGTTGCAATGTCGAAAAACGGAATCATGTGTTCACTATTTTTTGTGAATATACTTTTTTTTATTTTTATTATTATTATCGCAGTGAGTATAATTATTTTAAATCAATTATAATATAATGATTAATAATTTAATAAATTGATTGGAATTTAGGAAAAAAACTCTAAAAACATTAACATATATTACGAGAAAAATCGCAATACTCTGATCGATTTAAACGAATAATAATAACTATTGATAGCAGTAAGATAAGAAAATCACGCTATTTGAAAAAAATATAAATCAATGTAATAATGACCATCAATTGCTTTAATTAACTTAACAATACTAATAATAATTATAATTAATATTATTTTTGGTTAGATTCACGTCAAGTATATTTTTTAAACAACTATAATAATTTATTACTAAATTATTCTCAGAATAATAAAATGTTTATACTATTAACTCTTCAAATAAAACAGGAACTCGTTATTAAAAAGCACTTGTGTCTACCTCTGGCGTAAAATTAAAAAATAAAACTTTAATTAAAGTAGCGCGCATTTATTGAAGCTCATAAATTTTTTTTTTTTTTTTTTACTAAAAATTCAAGTTTTATCATAGAAAAAAAGTAAAAGTACATTAAAAAAAGTTATTCCAAGAGATTTTTCAGAAAAATTGAATATCTTCAT